GTAACCTAAACATCTGTACCCCATAATATGCTGAAATAAAAAAAAAAAAGCCAGCGCTCCAGCCCCCACTCCCTTGCGCAAGGGCCTCGAGTGGCTCCCTGTCACCGCTCAACTATTTGAAAGAATCCTCAATGAGAAAGTCATGGTCCCCTTCCTGGATCCGGCTACCACGATCTGCCTGTTCCCAGGGATTTTTAATGGCTCCAGACTACTTGGAGAATCTGACAAAACCACAGGTTCTTGCCTAGAAAAATGCACGAACAGGAAGAATTTTGCAAACTGCTTCCGGAGGGCTGTGGGCCCCCTCCTTGTGGATTCGGGCTCGGAGGCCTCCTCTGCTGTTATCACCCCGCTGCCCCCTGCGCTCCACCCGAGAGCGGCCTCCCCGCGACCAGCACTGAGCTTGTCCTCATCTCCCCGACTCTGTTCCCGCCATTCCTCCCGCCGGGATTGCTCTCCTCTACCCGGTTTATCCTTCCCGCCTCCGGCCCCACAAGGCCCTCTTCCCACCTTGCCTGGCCCCTGTGGCGCTTTCCTGAGGGCGGCTAATTGTCTCACCCCCGAGGTTTCAGTGCCCTCACCGGGCAGTAGATCCTTGGAGGGGGGTGATAGGACTCCCGCCGCCACCGTGAGGTACCCACCCTGGGTCAGGCATTCAGTTCATCCAACAGCAATGCTGACTGCCACCATTTTACAGGTGAAGAAAATGAGGCTCAGAGAGGTTAAGCAACTTGCCTAAAGTCAAACTAGAAGGAAAAGGGTCACTCGTCTCTGGCCCTCCACATGATTCAGGGTCACTGTAGGTCAAAGGCCACCCACTCCAGCTAGGAGACCTTTGCTTCAAGGCGGGCTCTGCCTCTGGCTTTAGAAGGGCGGCACGGTGCTGGCCTAACCGTTGAACCAGGGAAAAAGTTGCTTCCGTGTGAGTGGCCTGCTGGGGTATGTTACCTTAGTGACCGATGGGAGGGCCTGAGTCCAGCTCTGATCCCCGGGTGCTCTGGAGGGTCCAACTGCCTTCCTCAGGTAGCGTCCGTGGACCTCGCATGAATTCAGGATGTACAGAGCACAGGCCAAGGCATAGCCGCCCCAGTTAGAGACGCCTAACAACGCAAAAAGATTCCGTCATAGAACAGAAAAGGTCATGTGTCCCTCGGCCTGCCTCTAGGCCACTGAATGATCTCCAGCAAGGGTCCCAGACCAGTGGCACCAGTATCACCCAGGAACTTGTTAGAGCCCAGATCTGCTGTATCACAACTCAGCAGGAGAGGGCAGCAGGGGAGAGGCCGAGTGTTAACAAGCTCTGGGTGTGTCTGCTGCAAGCTGAAGGCTGAGAACCCTTGCACTAGGCCGTTAGTTATACAATGTTAATTACCACCAGGGAAAGAGGTTCAGGCAACCACCAAGAAACCCCTCCCAGACTCTCCACATTGAGAAAGTCTCCCTCATGGCCGACCTGCCTCCCTCACTCTGCGTGGAGGCCTGTCCCCAGAGGGACAGCCCCGCCAGGCTGTGCTGTATCCTTTTCATGTGCTTGAAGGTCTCTCCTAAGTCCGCCTCAGATTTCCCTCCCCTTCTACCAGCCAGGCCCACCCGGCTTCATCCCCGATTTTGGGACCCATCTCCTTGGCTCTTCCCTGAAACCTGCTTGAGTTCTCCATTCAGCTGAAGAAGAACTGATGAAGGGCTTTCCGGGCTCCAGGTGCTAGAGCATCAGAAAGACAGGTGCTCCCAGCCTGGAGAGAGAGGGACGGCACACACAGCCACCCCAGGGCGGGACAGCCTGTGTCCGAGATGTTCGCGTAGGGCTGTGGGAGCACTGACGAGGGGGTACTATTATTCTCTTTTTGTTTTTTTTCTTTAGAGACAAGGGTCTCGCTCTGTCTCCCAGGCTAGAGTGCAGTGGCGTCATCATAGCTCACTGCAGCCTCCAACTCCCGGGCTCAAATGATCCTCCCACCTCAGCCTCCTGAGTAGCTGGGACTATAGGTGCACGCCAGCATGCCCAGCTAATTTTTTCTATTTTTAGTAGAGATGGGGTCTCACGCTTGCTCGGGTTGATCTTGAACTCCTGAGCTCAAGCGATCCTCCCGCCTCGGCCTCCCAAGTAGCTGGGATTACAGGTGCGTGCCACCACGCCTGGCTAATTTTTAAAATTTTTCATAGAGATGGGGTCTCACTATGTTTCTCAGGCTGGGAGGGATCAATATTCTGACTGGTTTAGGAAAGATTCACAGAAAAGGGTCATTCAATAGGTAGGATTTTGCCAGAGAAGAGGTAGAGGAGTGGGGAAAATTCAGGTTAAAAAAAAAAAAAAAAACCCAACCAACAAAGGCATGAATACAAAGACAAGTAGCTTGAAAATACAAAGCACATATTAAAATATGGTGAGTGAAGGCCGGGCACGGTGGCCCACGCCTGTAATCCTAGCTCTCTGGGAGGCCGAGGCGGGCGGATTGTTTGAGCTCAGGAGTTCGAAACCAGCCTGAGCAAGAGCGAGACCCTGTCTCTACTAAAATTAGAAAGAAATTAATTGGACAACTAAAAATATATAGAAAAAATTAGCTGGGCATGGTGGCACATGCCTGTAGTCCCAGCTACTCGGGAGGCTGAGGCAGGAGGATCGCTTGAGCCCAGGAGTTTGAGGTTGCTGTGAGCTAGGATGACGCCATGGCCCTCTAGCCCGGGCAACACAGTGAGACTCTGTCTCAAAAAAAAAAAAAAAAAAATATGGTGAGTGAAGACCACACGATAATAATAATGCCATATTTCATTGATTTTAAGATGTATTTTTGTTACATTTACATCTCTGATATTGACATATGACTTATAATCAATAGTATCTTACAGTTATAATTGGCTGTGTTTTCCTTACTTAGTGGTATATAAATTAATGATAATTTTTGTCATCAATGACATCTTATATTCAATGGATAGAGTACCATCTTTCATTGAATATTTACAATGTGTGGCATTACTGTAAATGCCTTATATGGACTAACTCCTGATGTCCTTATAACAAGCCTGTGAGGTGTTAAGTATTATTATTATCTCCATTTGAAAACTGGGAGACAGACACAGAGGGGTTAAGTACCTTGCCTAAGGTCACACAGCTAGTAAGTGGTAGACCTGAGATGTCTACCACGAGGCTGCTGCCTCTAGAGCCCGTACTCTTAAAAAAAAACTTAATATAGCTTGGTGCAGTGGTGCACACCTATAATCCCAGCTACTTGGGAGGCTGAGGCAGAAGTATCACTTGAGCCCAAGAGTTCAAGACCAGCCTGGGCAACATAGCAAGACCCTGGCTGTCTAAAAACATTTTTTTAATTGTGGCAAAAAACATAACAGAATTTACCATCGTAACCATTTTTAACTATACAGTTCAGTAGTGCTAAATGCACTCACATTGTTGTACAGCTCGAGTGCCTGCATTCAATCTCCATGCAAATGTGCAAGTATGGAAAATAAAAACATGTGTTTGGAAGTACTAGTAAGGGACAGGGTGTTAAAATGCATGTTTACTGGGTAGAAATGATATAAAATGGATATGTATTGAGGATGAAGCTGACATGTAAAACTAAAAACGCTCACTGTGTTAAGGGGGGATGATGGTATTTCTGTCGCTGTCCATCACCCTTCACTACCTGCCTGTTAATACTGTCTATAGTATTGCTGTTACATCATCTTTTCAATTAAAAAAGTAGGCCCCGAGAGATGCTTGAGTGGGCCTTATGGTTACCATTAATCTTATAGCCGTGACATGTCTCTTATAATATACTACAGATACGCATTCAATGCAGTAAGTTTCCTTCTAAGCTCTGCTTTTATTGCATCCCACAAATTTTTCTAAGTTGTATTTTCGTTTAGTTTAAAATATTTTAAAATTTCTCTTGAGATTTCTTCTTTGACCTATATGTTATTTAGAAGAGTGCTGTTTAATCTCCAATTATTTGGGGATTTTTTTCCAGCTATCTTTCTGTTACGGATTTCTAATACCACCGTGGTCTGAGAACAGACATGGTATGATTTCTACTCTTTTACATTTGTTAAAGTATTTCTTATGGCCCAGAATGTGGTCTGTCTCAGTAAATGTTCCGCGTGAGCTTGAGAAGAATGTGCAGTCTGCTGTTGTTGAGTGGAGTCATCTATAGATGTCAATTGTATACGGTTGATTGGTGGTATTATTGAGTTCGACTATGTCTTTACTGATTTCCTGTCCATTTCTGATACAGGGGTGTTAAAGTCTCCAACTGTAATAGTGGATTTGTCTATTTTTCCTTACAATTCTATCAGTTTTTACCTTATGTATTTTGACAGTCTGTTGTCGGGTACATACACATTAACAATCGTTATGTTATGTTCTTTGAATGTCGACCCCTTACCATTATGTAACACCCCTCTTTATCCCTCATAATTTTCCTTGAAGTCTGTTCCGTCTGAAATTAATATAGCTCCTTTTGCTTTCTTTTGATTAGTGTTAACATGGTATATCTTTCTCCATCTCTTTATTGTTAACATGTCTAAATATAAAGACACTAGATTTCTTGTAGACAATGTATAGTTCAGTCTTGTTTTTTGATCCACTCTGACAATCCCTGTCTTTTAATTGGTATATTTAGACCATTGACATTTAAGGTGATTATTGATACAGCTGGATTAATATCTACCATATTCGTTACTGTTTTCTATTTGTTCCCTTTGTTCTTTGTTCCATTTTTGTCTTCCACAATTTTTCTGCCTTTTGTGGTCTTGAGTATTTTATAGGGATTCTATTTTTCTCTCTTTTGTTAGCATATCAATTATACTTAAAAAAATTTTTTTAGAGGTTGCCCTATTGTTAGAAATATATGCCCACAAGAAATCCAAGTCTATTTTCAAATAACACTATAATACTTCATGGGTAGCACAAGCACCTTACAATAACGCAATATTCCTAATTCCTCCCATACCTTGTATAATTGCTGTCATTTGTGTCACGTATACATAAACATACATAAGTATATGTAAGGGCTGTCTGGAAAGTATCCAGCCAGGTAACTGTTCTCGTTATATTAACAATGGCTGGCTACTTTCCAGACATCCCTCATACATACTCATAGCATACATAATGGAATACACTGTTGCTACATTGTTTTGAACAAACTGTTATCTGTTAGATCAAGAAGAAGAAATATTAAAGTTTTTATTTTTACCTTCATTTATTTTATTCACTGAAACTCTTCTTCACGCAGATTCGAGTTTCTGACCTGTATAATTTTCCTTCTCTCTGAAGAACTCTTAACATTTCTTGCAAGGCCGGTCTATGGGCAACAAATTCTCTCAATTTTTGTTTGTTTGAGAAAGTCTTCTTCACTTTCGAAGGAAATTTCGAAGGGCACAGAATTCTAGGGTGGTTTTTACTTCTCAACACTTTAAATCTTTCACTCTCCTCTCTTGCTTGTATTGTTTTTAAAGAGAAGTTGAATGAATGTCATTTTTACCTTTGTTCTTCTATAGGTAAGGTGAGTTTTTTCCTTCTGGCTTCCTTCAGCTTTTTCCTTTATGTTTGATTTTCTGAAGTTTGAATACGTTATGCCTAACTACCAAAAGGTGTAGCCTTTTTGGCATTTATCCTGCTTAGTGCTCTCTGAGCTTCTCGGTTTTGTGGCTGACGTTAATTTGGGGGAAATTCTCAGTCATTATTGCTTCAAATATTGCTTCTGTTCCTTTCTCTCTTTCTTCTTCTTGTATTCCCATTAATGTAGGTTACATCTTTTGTAGTTATCCCACAATTCTTGGATATTCTGTTATGGTTTTGTTTTGTTTTGTTTAAGTCTTTTTTCTGTTTGCTTTTCAGTCCTGGCAGTTTTTGCTGAGATATCTTTGAGGTCAGAGATTCTTTCCTCAGCCATGTCCAGTCAACTAATGAGCCCATCAAAGACATTCTTCATGTCTATTATAGAGTTATTGATCTCTACTATTTCTTTTTGACTCTTTCTTAAAATTTCCATCTCTCTGCATATATTATCCATCTGTTCTTACATGTTGTCTCCTTTTTCCAGTGAAGACTTTAGCATATTAATGTAGTTTTTAAAAAAATTCCTACTCTGATAATGCCAACATTTCTAACATGGCTGACTCTGTTCAGTCTCTTCCAACTGTGTTTTTGTCTACTAGTGTACCTTGTAATTTTTTGTTGAAAGGTGAACATGATGTACTTGGTCAAAGGAAACTGCAGCAAACGGGCCTTTAGTAATGTGGCAGTAAGGTGTGGGGGAGAAAGAAAGGGGAGGGGAAGGGTTCTATGGTCCTGTAATTAGGTCCCAGCCTTTTGGGGAGCCTGTGCCCCCGGACTGTGAACTTTACCAACGCTTCTCAGTTTTGGCCCCCACCCCTCTTAGGTGGGCCAGGATCGATAGAGGGAATGGGAGTTAGGTATTTCCCTGCTCCCATGTGGAAGGCTATTCTGGGCTGGAGTTGGGTATTTCCTTTCCCCAGGTAGGTTAGGCTCTGGTAAAGTAGTTTCCCTTGGGGGCAGATCTTGTAAAGAAGAACAGAATGCGCTGGTGTATTTAAAAATGGCTCATTTTCGGCTCCCCCTGCCAGAGCATGAGGGCATTTTTCTTTGATACTCCTTGTGAGAACCTGGTTGAGCCCCTAGAAGTAAAACTCACAAAATCATGGGCCCCCCGCTACGACTGGGTCCCCTGGAGTCTTTGATTTCCAGCCTTGTCCACACTGGGCCTCCAGCAATTCCTCAGTTACAGTTCAGGTTTGCCCTGACCGGCACTGATTCCAAGAAGTTTCCCTCCTCTCCAGACTAATTTTGATCATGATGTGGGAGAGCCTTTCTCGGGTGTCTGTCTGTTCTCCTGAAACTTGTGGGGAGGTCGAGGGGGGAAGGCCAGGCCTGGAAGGACCTGGGCCCTGGTGCAGAAGGGCAGCAGCAGGGAGGGCGGGGTGGCCTGAGGCAGAAGTGAGAGGAGAGGTGGGAAGCCTCTTGTAGCCTCCAACAGCCGCCAGATTCTTGTCTTCCTGCCCACCACGCAGACAAAAGCACAGATGCCCCTCTTCAGAGAGGCCTTCCTGAGCCTTTAGAGGCTTCCGCCTATCTAAAGCCGCCCTCCTGTCACTCCCTCTGATCTACCTGTTCTATCGCCCCATAGCTCTTCTCACTATTAGAATCATCTGGTGCGTGTATTTGTCAGGGCTCCTTGTTCATCTCCCAGTCCTGGAACGGGAGTTCCGTGGAGCAGGGTCGTCGCTGTTGTAACCCTGGTGCTCAGGACAATGCCTGGCACACAGTAAATGTTTGTTGAATGACTGAATGAGAAGTCAGAGGCTGAGAACCACATCCCCTCCTGGCCCTGGTGCCCTCTAGACCACTTGCAAAGAAGAGCTTCTGGCCTGGTCAGGCTCCAAGCCAGGTCCCCCCTTCCAAGCAGCCCGGCCTGACGGGGCGGCCATCCAATACTCACCAGCAATGACAGCAAAGTCAGCCTCCACGTCACAGGCAATGACGTCCCCATTCCGTATGTGCCTCTTCACAGCCTCCTTGACTTTGCCCATCCCAAGCTCGTTGCCTCCATCACCGACTCCTATTGGGCAGGGAAATGGCATCAGCGCACGGGGTCAGGGCAAAATGGGGGTGGTTGTGGGGCAAGGTGGCCCCTCCACAAGTGCTTTGTTGCCTCTGGGAGGGGAAAGAGGTTGGCTCTCGATATATTTTCAAGAGATGTTGTACTTTCCCTTCAGGCCTTGTAGAAACTTCTCTAGGTAAAAATGAGTCAAAGTCTGAAACTCACCAGAGTGTGAGCATGTCTCCCTTTGGGTCACGGCCTCCAGTCACAGATGGAGCATGCTCTGTGCTGCTGGTGCCAGGCCCACGGGGGCTGTGGGTAGGTGACGCTCAGGCCCTCCCTTCAAGTGGCTCCCAGCACTGAGCCCCGTTAGTGTGGCCGGGCGACGTTCCACTGGCAGAGGGGAACTGGTGCAGATAGTTAAAGCCAGTTCTGGATTTACTTTAAAGGCTTCTGTTTAAAGAATGTGAAACAGATGTGTGTTAGGTAATTTTAATCTGCACCAGAGGGGTACCTGGTTAACACGTGAAACTCCCTAATCAGGAATACACACTCTGAGGGTGGTGGATTAGCACAGCAGTCTCCAACCTTTTTGGCACCAGGGACCGGTTTCATGGAAGACAATTTTCCCACGGACAGGGGACATTAGATTCTTATAAGGAGTGTGCAACCTAGATCCCGCACACGTGCAGTTTACAGTAGGGATTCATGCTGCTGTGAGAATCTAATGCCGCCGCTGATCTGACAGGAGGCGGAGCTCAGGCGGTGATGCGAGCGATGGGGAGCAGCTGTAAATACAGAAGAAGCTTCTGCTGTGCAGCCCAGTTCCTAATGGGACTGGTACTGCTCTGTGGCCCCAGGGTTGGGGACCTGCAGGGTTAGCATTTGAAAGAGACCATAGTCTAGAGGCCCAACTGATAATTAGCCCCAGAGGATTTGTTAATTAGCATAATAACTGAGTGCTGGAATAAATAAATGTTAGAAATGATTTCATTCACTTGTGAAATGAATGGTGTTCAAAAATAATTAACGAGTGCCTCTACTCTTGCAGAAATAAGATTTAAAAAAAAAATCTAGCAAGCCCTGCAGCCCACATCCTTTGAGAGGGTGCTCCAGGTCTAAGGGACACTGTTTGGTCCTGTGTCCAGGTATTTCTGGAGGATTCTGTAGAGTAGAAGGTCAACTGAATCTACACCTAGAAGATGGCTGCAGCCGTCTCAATAACCTTTAATGCCACGTGCGTGTCTGAGTCCCTCAGGGGCAGAGGGCTGGACCTCCCAAGCCTACGGAGCAGGGGTGTCGCTGTTTTGTGTCTGCCTCTGTCAAGGCTTGGACTCTGTGGAGGGTTACCTCACAGGCTGGCGCTCACCATGGGATGGCGAAGGGGGACATAGAACTGACCCACCTAAGTATCAGGGACTGGATTTGGCCAACAGAATCAGACAATTGTGAATGACCAAACACCTTAGAGTCACACCTGATGACTTTTCTGGAACAGTTTTCTAGATCTATCGACAGGCCATTGAATGAAGGAAAATCATGCCACCGCCCAACACTGGTATTTTGTCTGTATCTTTTTTTTTTTTTTTTTAGCATTTTATGAATTTCGTCTCGTTTGCGCCTCACATCCATCCTGTCCGTGGTCTTGTCCGCACGGTACAGAGCTGGCGCGTCTCTGGGGCGGGCAGCACCTGGGAAGTAAGTGGAAGGTGGAGACTTAGCGCCCAGTGTCTTGATTCTCAGCCGAGTGCTGTGCCGTGACGTGGCGTCTGCGTGTGCTGCCTGAGGAACGGGGTCTCGACGGAGCAGAGGAGGGACAGGGGCGGTCAGAGGGCAGCCCTGCTGGGGTAGGGGCCCCGGGATGGGCTTGGGTTCCTGAGGCTGAGAGGAAGGTTCAGGGGTCTACACAGGAGGCAGCTTGAAGCCACAATGCCCAGCTCTACCTGCTTCCTCTGGGGTCCCAGGAGTGTCACAGCACAGATCGGGGGCCCGTCTGGGGTGGGGGGTGGGCTCGCTCAAGCAGCTCCTTCGGATCCTGTTTGCCCCTTTAGACAGGGAGATGGCTTCCTTCTCCACCCTGGGAACCCCCACCCCCCAACAGGCCTCGGTCGGCCTGGCCAGCGGGAGTGACAGGAAGCTGGAAGGCGCGGTGTGCACCACACCCACAGCCTCTTCTGGGAAAGGCCAGGGCGATTTGCAGAAATTTTCTAAGCAGCCCAGAAGGCTTTCATTGTCTCATCAAAGCCTCAAAAGCCAAGAGGACTAATGAGTCTGGGAAAACAACTGAAATGTTTGAATGGAGAGAACAAATAGACGCAGATGCCAGACAAGCCCTAATTACCCGGGGCCTGAGACCTGCCCCCAGGGGGAGGGAAGCTGGTTCTCTCTGGGGGTTCCACTAAGCCTTTCAGAAATCCATAAAGGCGCAATTCTGTGATAACCGGCTGGGGGAGTCTGCACTGTCCTCCTAAAGCCACCAGCGTCGCTAATGAGTTCGGTGCCCCGGAAAACCTCCCAGGCCTCGGTGCTGGACAGTCTACTGCCTTCCCCGCCCCCCGCCTGCAGTTTCAAAGGGACTTATATAATACAACGAATGTGAAATCTCTTGGAAAATTATAAAGTTCTGTACAAACACAAATTATCACATTGTTACATTATTAACAATTGAAATACTACAGTGATCATATATTAGATATATTTAAAAATTAACATGCTTCATAAAATGATACACAGTATACATGGTCCATTCCATCCTATGTGACCAAAATAACATGTGTGCCTCAATTTTACCATTGATATCATTTTATTATTAGTTTTATTATTAATACTTTAGAATCAGGCGAATAGAATGTGCTCGGTTGTCATTTCCCTTCCTTGCTTGTGGGAATGTTGAATTTCCAAATGGTGGTGACACTAGTGTCTGTACTAACCGTAACAAACACAGATTTTCTTTGGAGTGGAAAACGTCGGTCCCTCCCCATGTAACTCTTTCTGGTCACGTGTTCAATAGTCAATAAAAAGGCACTTTGCAGTGATATGTGCTTGTTGCACGCTCAGTGCTCCCGTGGTCCTTACTTACCCGTTGACGAGATTCCAGGAATCTTCTTTGCGGCAAGAAAAAGATCGTCGATGGGGTCCACTAAGTGCTTGATGTTCACCTTCCTGGCGTTGTAGTACCCGCCGTCGGCAGCTCTGCCCGCGCGCTCTATGGCCACCAGGTGGTCGAATCTGCCAGGAAGCGAGCACAGTAGGGTCCTTACAGACAGTACGTGATGGGTCACGCCTCCGTGTGTTTGTGTGAGGCCACGTCGTTCTTTCTTCCATTCCTTCACTCCTACAGAACTTGACTGAACACCTACGCTGTGCCAGCGCCTATCAGAGCATTTTAAGGAAGAGCATCGGAACCCTTAGTGATTTCTGTGTTAGAGTCAGAGGCTGTGGGCAGGGAGGCCAGCGCGCAGGGTCGCTGTGGTGGACGGGGACACTGCTGGTGCCCACCCAGATCCCCTTTGTCCAGCGGAGCAGCCAGCTCCTGTGAGTGTCGGCTGCCGTGGGTCCACCACTGCCCCCTTCCAGGATCTTGTTTGGTTTATAGACAGGAAACAGACGGAAAAGGAATGGATCATAGAAAATGAATGAATCTAACACAAAATAAACTTCTTAGATAGAAACGGAGGACTAAGGGCCACAGTTGACATGGTGCTCAGAATGTGGGCTGCAGGACCTGTGCTCTGGGTTCTGATTCCAAGTCCTCCTGCCACCGGCCTTGGGCCAGTCGCTCGGCCTTTCTAACCCTCATTTTCTGCACCTGTCAGGTGACATCACAGCAGCACCTGTTTCGCACAGTGCTGAAAGGGTTAAATGAGAAAACGCACAAGAGCTGCATGTCGTGTTGTAGAGCCCACACCTACCTGGTGCTCAGTAAGTGTTAGTTGTTGTGACTGCTGTTGCTATTATTAGCAGGACTATTGTACTGATAATCCAGTTTAAGAACATGAAAATTATACTTTTACATCTCTCTCAATCCCCCCAACGATGGAGTTCTACAAAATCTAAACTCTGCTATGGGAAACAGTATGGCCATTCCTCAAAAAATTTGATCCACCAATTTCACTTCTAGGTACATGCGCAAAAGTAATGAAAGGCTCCAGGAGGTATTCGTCCACCCACGCTCATGGCAGCATTATTCATAGTAGCTAAGAGGCAGAAGCAAGCCAGTAACCAGGGACAGAAGAATGGATAAACATAGCGTGGTCCGTACACACAAGGGAGTATTATTCAGCCTTAAAAAAGAAGGAAATTCTGACACATGCTACAACATGGGTGAATCTTGAAATTATGCTAAGTGAAATAAGCCAGTCACAAAAGGACAAATACTGTATGACTCCACTTCTATGAGGGTGCCTAGAGTAGTCAAACTCACAGAGACAGAAAGTAGAATGGTGGTTGCCAGGGGCTGGGCTGAGGAGGAAATGGGGAGTTAGTGTTTAATGGGTACAGTTGCAGTTTTGCTAGATGAAAAGAGTTCTGGAGATGGGTGGTGGTAATGCTTGTACAACAATGTGAATGGACTTAATGCCACTGAACCGTACGCTTAGTAATGGGTAAGATGGTAAATTTTGTGTTATGCATATTTTGCCATAATAAAAAAAACTGTGAGTGCTTCTTCTATGTTTTTTTTTTTTCCCAAAAGGACTGTTTTTATTTATACAGTGTCCTAACCACTTCACAGCGGTAGGAGGAGTGGGAGAGGTTCCTTTCTCAATCCAGGGGCCTCCATAATGTTGATTTGTTGTTGCCAAACACACAGGCAAGTGGCATCATGGATTTGGTAAACTGGTAACAACGTTTAATCTCTCTCTGCTAGAGCAATAAGGTGAGCGTCAATCTCTGCTGCTGTAAGAATCCTGAATTTAGGACTTTCAACTGTAACTACTCCAACTTCTATTTCTGAAGGTTTGAAACCACTTGATAGAACAGTAGACAGGCATGTAATTGCAGTTTCTACTGTCCAAATGTCCAATCAAATTTCTTTTTCATTTATTTTTCAAGGAAGCTGGTTGACTCGGTTTGTTTCACTCCTGCTGCAGCGGCTTTAAACCCACAGGAGTAACCTGCAGGATCACACCTGTACACCTGAGGGCCTTGTTCTTCCTCTATACCAACTAAAGTCATACAACAACCAAGAGGCCTCATTTCAGCATTCTGTGTGTAGACCTGGGAACTGTCAGCAATTCTTTCACACAGCACGTCCACAGGAATCTCACGGCCATACTTGCATTTCCAATCAGCTGCCTCATAGCGTGCCCTCTGTACCCGGCATCTGCCGTCAGCTGTCATTCCTGTCATCACACAGCCCATGTTTTCGGTTATCCTGAGTAAGTGAGTCACTGTGCTGGAATCCAATAACTTATCGGGGACTTTCTCCTGTGTAACAATTACTGCACAGTCTTTCCTTCGACAGCTACTGATGTAAGGCCACCCTGGTTAATAGCCTTAAAAGCATATTCTACTTGGTAGAGCCGGCCCTCGGGTGAAAAAATGGTAATGTGGCGATCAAAACCGGCGCTGGAACCATGGGACGTATAGGTGCACCACTTCAACACAGTAGCTGGGCCCCGTAGCTCCCCTATAAATGTTTTTAAAAAACAAAATTTACGTGCCTGTCCACATCCTTTGGTTGTGCTAGGATGTGGTGGCATCACATGGGCGTCAAACGGGTAGCCCACTGAGTAGGTCTCAGAATGTACTCCTGGGCTACGTGTCCATCCAGCGCAGGAAAAGGCAGACACTGAGAAGCAGAATTAACAGGAGGAAGAAGCTTTGGCACTGAATTTCCTCTAGACCTACACCAGCACTGAGGAAAAGGCAGTTAGACCCAGAGCTACGGTCAAGATCAATGTGTCCTCTGTTCCCAAGGGAGGGCACTACTTCTGGACCTTCCCCCGGGGAGCATGCCATTGTACACACTGTGGAGATCTACTGAATGTTTAGTCCAGAAGGCTCCATGTAGCTATAGTGGGAAAGAATCAGCCCTGGGAAGCTCCCTGGGAAGAGTTAACTCACCTGCTCCAAGGTGAACAAAATCTTCTCTCCCCACAAGCAGACATGGCTCACTCTGCTCTACTCAGCAAACAGCAACACCTACATTACCTGGCATTGGGGGTCCCACACAGGAGAATTTCCCAGTTTCTCCCTCAGGAGCCAGAGCTGCTAATGGTTGTATGCCAACCGCTGGAGGAACATAAACATTCTCACATGCACCACGTGTGTTCTTGCAGCTTTAAATAGCATATCGGATCCACAATCGAACTTTTCCTTGGTGAGTAAAGAGCCTCATCATGAATAGCAGATTCTTCTGGGAGCTGTCATATAGCTATGCCCTCAAGGCCTATTAAAGCAGTATTTTAAAATTCTAAGTGGACACTCATTAGTGGATTATGAAATGTATTGGGGCAGATCAGCATTTTTTGACAAGTAGAATAGAACAGAGTAGAATAGAAGGAAACAGACTAGAATAGAAAATATCGGAGTATATTGCACTGAGTCAGTATTGTGTTTTTGAAACTTCTATTTCATTTGTGGGTGTGTACTGGTTTGCAGTACAAAATGTGTCACTGCGGGTTATTGTCAGAAAGGTTTGCAAAACACTGTATTACACATTAGAAGATCTGAAACACATGTACAATAAAGAAGTATTTTTTTAAACGTTTAACCATATACACAGGAAGAAACACACACACACACACACACACACACACACACACACACACACACACACACACGGTTTCCTAAGACATACTTGGCATTACTATACAAGATAGACGATGGCGTTGTATTTCTATTTCATTTTCCAGTGGTGCTTGTTACTCCCAACTGAAATGATTTCACTACTCTCCAATGGGTCATGACCCACAGTTTGAGAGACTGCTAGCCTTTTTAAATTTTAAAAATAATTCTATCTCTTCCCTCTGTCGGAAAGACATGCCATCTCTCCCTGCTGACCAGGGACCTGCTGCTTCCACAGATGCTCTGTGAATTCCCCCATGTACCTTGAAAGCCCCCAGCCCAGCCTCATTGCTTTGTCTGGTCCGTCAGACCCCGCCTTCCTTGGTTCAGGCTCCAATCTCTCTGAAGGGCTGGGCTGTGCAGAAGCTTCCTTGGTAAAGAGTCCATGCGCTTTCCCACCATCACCCACTTACACTGGGACGGGACATACATACCTAGGTGACTTGGGGTTCCCGTCTTTGCACAGAAATGCCTGGGCAGCTTCCACTGATCCACCTTGGTAGGTTAGCATTGGGATCTCTGTCTTCAGAACACCTTGGAAATAAAGACAAAGAGTGGACACTTCAGCCCTAGTGATGCATTTTGGGAATTCGTGTTGGCTTTTCCAAAGGCCCTTTGGAGAGTATCGCTACTGTTGTTGAGTGAGGTCCATCCGCAGAACACTTCGTTAGCCACGCCACGGCCCTGACACAGAGGAGACGTACGTTTCCTTTTGGTCCTGAGTAAATGCAGGGTTGGCAGGGAGTGGGGCGGGGATCGGGCTAGTGAATATGCTGTGCGTAAGGTGCCCATAACACATGGGTGCAGCAGCCTGTTCTGGCCCATGGCCACCATTGCGCTGGGTACATATTTACATGCCCTCGTGACAGGGTGGCAGCCCTCTGCTAAGCAGTTGAGCCGTACGCTCTCATTTAATCTTCACAACACTTTTGTTTGATAAAAACCATTATTACTCATATTTGACAGAGGGGAAAACTGAGGCTCAAAGACACCAAACAATCTGGGCAAGGCCCCCTATGTGTGTCAACCCCATTCCCCACCTCCCTGCACACTCTCGGGGAAGTTCAAGAACCACCAAGGGAGGCTGGGTGCGGTGGCTCACGCCTGTAATCCTAGCACTCTGGGAGGCCGAGGCGGGCGGATTGTTTGAGCTCAGGAGTTCGAGACCAGCCTGAGCAAGAGCGAGATCCCGTCTCTACTAAAAAAATAGAAAGAAATTATCTGGACAACTAAAAATATATAGAAAAAAAAATTAGCCGGGCATGGTGGCGCATGTCTGTAGTCCCAGCTACTAGGGAGGCTGAGGCAGGAGGATCGCTTCAGCCCAGGAGTTTGAGGTTGCTGTGAGCTAGGCTAATGCCACGGCACTCACTCTAGCGAGGGCAACAGAATGAGACTCTCTCAAAAAAATAAAAATAAAAAACAACCAAGGGAAATTCCCTTGGGTTGGCTACCTATATGGGAGTGATTTTGAAAATAAATTTGACTCTTAAAAATGGCACCTTTCCTAATTATAAAAATAATACATATTATTATAGAATATGTGGGAAATACACAAAAATCCCAAAATAAGCTAAAATGAACTTGGTTTCCATTAACCAATCTACCCCACAGTTAGGGTAGAATCCTGCTATATTCACTGGCCTAAGGCAAAGTCTTCTCCACGCAGACAGCCCAGGGCAGGTGATCTTGGGCCCATCACTTATGGTCCTGCAGGAGCTCCCAGACAGCTCTGTGGCCCAGGAGTGTGCCAAGGGGTAGCCTTGGGGGTGCTTTAGCCACCCCCACAATCTCCATGGCCAGCCCCTTGCACCCCTCACATAAGGATAAGCACAGCCACGGTGTCCATGTTAAACCACGTGCCTGCCTGTAAATGCAGCTGCCAGACAGCTGCTCCCCCACCCAGCTTCTCCACCATGTTGCTGCCCCTGAGTCCTTCGGGAGCTTCACTGCCCCCGGTGGGGGGATGGGGCAAGCTGAGGTGAGGAACAACTAACCGGCAGGGACCCTAAAGTGCCCTCACCGGCTCCCTCCCGTCTCTCCCCAGCCCCACCCCACGTCTAAGGGAGAAAAGGCGGGAGATGGTAACTGGTCTGTCAAGGGATGTTCACCGAGCACATCCTACATCAAAGCCACAAGCTAGGGAACTGTGGGGGGGACAATCACGACAAGGGGAAGGACCCAGCCCCTCCCTGTGCTGTGCATGGCAGCCAGGTGACCCAGACACGGGGGCTCAACTTAGAGCCAAACAACTCTGGGCGGGAACGTGACACCACTTCCTAGCTGTGAGACCCTCCAAGCTTCAGTTATCCCCCTGCAGAGTGGGCGTTAGCGATGCGCACCTCCCAGGATTGCCCCAAGGGCCCAACAACGTGACACGTGCCAGGTCCCCAGCTGGGCACCCGCACAGAGCAGCTGCTAAGTGGGGGCTGGCTGTTTCTCACTGCCTCCGAATTGGATCAAGGAACCAGGATACTAGTAAGAAGGGCACCGGGAAGCCCACAGGCCAGGGAACTTAGTAACTAACATATCCCAAAGCGGGAGGCAGACGTGGGAAAGGACACACAAGAACCTCGGAAAAGGAGGGTCAGCGTAAGATGACAGTCTCACTTCTGAGCTACAGAGAAAGATCTTTGGTCGATTTATGCTTAAGACAGGGAAGAAATGGCTCTGTCTTTTCTTCTTTAAAACATTTCCTAGGCTTCTGTTATAAAAAAGACTGAAATAATTTTCATTAAAAGGCCGAATTGCTTTTACATTCTTTGTCCAAATGTTATGAAAGTTCTGCAAAATCCAAGAGAGCAAATCCCAGGCTCAGAGCCCGTGTGGGCGAGCCCCAGTTCTGAGTGGAGGCTGGTGTGGCCTCCGAGCCCAGCTGCTGCCAGGCGAGCACAGAGGGCAAAGCTGCTTCTGGAAGCGGGCAGCTAAAAGCATCCACCAAAGATGGATGGAAATGAGATTTTGGCTGGGGAGCAGCGTTTGACAGTTGGCTGTCCCTTCCTCCTTGGCGCCTTTCTCTGCGCCATGACAACTCGGTCCCTGGCTTTTCCTCTTGCCGCTGCTCCTTTTCGTCTCCTTGCTGGCCGCACCCCTTCTCCTGGTCCTCTCGTCATGGGGAGTCTTGGGACGCAATCCTAGGTCCTTTGCTGTCACCACTTCTTCCTGCGGTGATCTCATCCGGCATCCTGGTTCCATCAATATGCCAACAGCCCTCCCATCTGTCTTCCTGGCCAGACTGCCCTCCTGCGCTCACTCCATGTCACTAACTGCCCGCGTGACTTCTCCACCTGTGTGTCTACAGACGTCGCACACCTAACAGGCTCAAGCCTGCACTCTGTGTGTGTGTGTGTGTGTGTGTGTGTGTGTGTGGCAAAATACACATAACATAAAATTTATCATTTTATCCATTTTTAAGGGTACAGTTGAGTGGCATTAAGTACATTGTCATGCAACCATCACCACCATCCATCTACAGAACTTTTTCATCTTCCCAAATGGAACCTCTGTACTCATAAGACAACAGCCCCCCATTGTCCCCTCCCCCCTCCTCTGGCAGCCACCATCCTACCTTCTGTTCCCATGGATTTGACTACCGTAGGGACCTCGGATAAGTGGATTCACGCAATACAACTGGCTTGGTTCATGTAGCATAATGTCCTCACGGTTCATCTGTGTTGTAGCACATGTCAGAATTTCCTGCTAAATAATATTCCCTTGTACGTACATACTCCGTTTTATTTATCCATTCATCTACCGAGGGGCCCTTGGTTTGCTTTCACCTCTTGGCAATTTCGAATAATGCTGCTATGAGCATGGGTGAACAAATATCTCTTGAGGACCTGCTTTCAGTTTTGGGGGTGTGGATCCAGAAGTGGAATTGCTGGATCATACGGTGGTTTCTATCTTTGATTTCTAGAGCGGCTGCCATGCTGTTTTACGCGACATCTGCTCCGCTCTACGAGCCCACCAACAGTGCACGAGCGTCAAACTTGGACTCTGGATTCATCCTCAGACCTGCCCTCCCCAGGGCCCCATCTCAGTTCACAGCAACTTGTCCTCCCCGTTCCCCGGGCCAGAAGCCTTAGAGCAAGTCCCGATCCCTCTCTCATGGCCACATCCAGTCCTCTTGGAAACCCTGCCGACCCTGCCTACAGAATACCCGCAGCATCTGGGGTCTCCCCACCACCTCCACTTGTACCCGAGCCGTTCATCTGTTTGGGTTCCCCTGGAACCGCAGCCTGCGACTTGGGCGCAGGTGGTGTCCTGGGAGATGGCACCGGGAAGCAGGAGGGAGGGAACAGGGACAGTGAGGCTGGAGGGAGGGCCAGACAAGAGGAGGGATTGTGCATTATCAAGGCCACTGCTCTAGGGAGTGGGGTCTCAGTTCCACTGGGACCGGTGTGTCCTGACAGGAGGCAGGACACTTACCCTGAAGCTCCTGTCCCCCAGGGGTTGAGGGTGCAGGAAGCCATTCGCCCCACAGGGTGGAGTGGATTTGGAGAGGCCCGCAGGGCCCTGGCCTGTGATGGGGCCCAGTCAGGTCGGCGTGACTCAGACCTTCCACTCCAGCTGCGGCTGACATCCGACGGGGCTGAAGGGATGCGCCACGTGGCATCACCCACTGCAAGTCCTCTCACCTCCTACCTTCAATAGCCTGACCGGTCTCCTGCTTCTACCCCTGTCTCAACAGCAACCCAGTGACCTTGGCCGTCGCCACAGCCCACAGCCTGGGATGCTCTTCCCTCCGCCAGCCCAGGCCTCACTTCCTCATCAACTAGAAGTCTGGGCTCAAATGTCACCTTCTCCATTAAGTATCTCCTGACCACCCTGTTTAAAATGGCAGCCCTTCCCCTGCCCCTCATCCCCAATCCCCTTAGCCTGGTCCAGCTCTTCCCATAGCAACATCTCCTTCTAACATACTATGCACTTGTTTCTCATGTTGTTTATTGTTGGCCACATGCCACTAGAAGATATGCTCTGTGAGGGCAGGCTTGCTGTTGGTTTTGTTCACAGACAGATCTCAAGAGCCTAAAATAGTGCCTGGCACATAGTAGGTGCTCAGTACACATTTGTGGCATGAAATGCATTGTGTATGTACAGATGCAAACTTTTTGAAACTTCCCACATAATGGATGCTTTAGGGTTTGCATTCCTGGGGTTAAAGCTCTTTTGAAATGCTAAAAGGAAAACAATTCTCTGAAGAATGCATCTTGAGGGACACAGAGAGATCAGAGGTGGGAAACAGGTGAGATTCCCCAGGCTTCCAGCTTATGCCTGAGTAACACCTTCTGCAGGACGGAGGCAAGGTGAGGAGCAGTTGTTCACACTGAGCCCACGGCCGAGCTCGTCACACTGACAGTATATCACAGCCTCATGTCTTTAGTACCCACGGCCCTAATGCCCACCTGGGTGCTCCAGGTGCATCCCTGCCCATGTGGACCAGGTGGGACCCGGCTGTCTGAGCATTCAACCACTCTATGCTCCACTACCCCTCCCCCGCTCTGGTGGTGCAGGGCTGCCCTGGGTTGCTAAGAGAACTTGGCAAGTCGCTCCCTACCCTATCGTCGCGAAAGGAGGGCTGTAGGTGCATTAGAAGGATCATGTGCTTTGGAGCCTGCTCACCATCCCCATCTGGGTGAATTACCTGGGCCCCTTGGAACCTCAGTCTCTTCATCTATAAAATGGGGATAAGTGGTTCACGACAAAGAGTTGTTCTGCGCTCAAAGGATAACGCTCAAAGCCTTGTGCTGGGTACCGGCAGAAGTACTGCAAACGCTGATCCCTCCAGCCTCTGTCCACAAAGGCCTGTTTGGGGAAACGGACCAAGCCCGTCTCACTGCTCACCTTGCTCAACAGCATCTTCAACAAGCTTCCGGTGCAAGTTCAAGGCCCTCTGGTCAACTATCATGGAGACCTCCTTCTCCAGGGCCTGCAGGAAGGCGGCCAGTGCGATGGCTCCCGGTGGGCCGTCCGTCTCTTCCGGAGGCTCGTGACTGAAATGCGTGGGGAACCCCGTGGTGATGAGCACTGAGCGGGCGTGGGACAGTGACAGAGAGGCTCTCAGCAGCTCGTCCTTGCAGAGCAGGTGCCCAATCCCCCGGCTGCCTGAAATTACAAAAAGCAAATCAAACCAAATCAAATCAGATCAAATCATAACATAAAGTAACTGTAGGTAATTTTGTTTAAGTAGAAACTTATATTAAGAGTAATTTAGGGTTTTAGTTGATTGGTTTTCTTTCTTTTCTTTCCTTTTTTAGAAACAGGGTCTCACTCTGTCACCCAGGCCTAGAGTGCAGTGGCACAATCATAACTCGCTGCAGCCTCAAACTCCTGGCCTCAAGTGATCCTCCCACCCTGGCCTCCCAAAGTGCTGGGATTCCAGGTGTGAGCCACCATGCCCGGCCTGCTCTCTTCTTTTAAGAAGTTGATTTGAAGGGTGTGGCAGAGACTGTGAATAGTTCACCAGGATGCACCAGAATAATTTTTCTCCCCCCGCCACCAGCAGTGAAGGGCAGCTGGGTAGGTGGCCGACCAGCATCCCCTCAGTTAGGTGTGTCCACAAGACAAGGTTCTGTCCACTGGAATGTGACAGAAGTGATTCGCGCCACCTCTGGGCCTGGCCATGCACCTCCCACGTGCACCTCCAAGTTCTTTCCCTTTTTCCTGGCAGCTGGAATGTTGACAGCTAGAGCCCCCTGGGAGTCACATGATGCGATGGCAGAGCTGCTGGGTCCCTGCGTGACTGGGCAGAGCATCCACCTTCCTGTGGACCCAGAACACTCACCCTGGAAGACCCGCCTGGGCTGTTATGTAAGAGGCATAAACTTCTATCATATTTGAGCAAAGCGTCTTGTGGCTTGTTGGTTACAGCAGCTTAACAAACCCTAACTAATACAGGGAGTACAGATGGAGGAAGGGACATGGGACCTTCTTAATTGGGGATTCCCTAAAAAAAGATCCTAAGACAAGGACTTGGGCATAAGTATTTCAGTGGGAGGTGATCCCAGGAAATGCAAGTCAGAAGAGGAGAAAAGGGAATAATTCCACGAAAGGATTGTGAGTGAGCAAGTTACCTCCCAAGGCAATGGGGCTCAATCCTTCTTGACATAGATGCTCTGAGGAGCCATGGGGTACACACAGCACAGGGAGACTGGGCATTTATCCACCGGCTCCCGTCCCCTCTTGGAGGGAGGGGGCTCTGGAGGTGCAGAGAACATCCTCAGGTGCAGAAGCAGAGAGCCCCGGGGTCATGCTGGGAGCCGCCCACTGCACCTGCCGGTGAACCAGGCAGGCCCAGGGGACACGAGCATAGCAGCAGCCTGCACTGCAGATGCCCACCGGTGGCCGCCATGCAGACAGCTGCTCTCGGGATGCGCCGTCATGCCTTTGTCCAAACTCAGGTCATCTCAGAGCAAAACAATGCCATGTGAAGGCAGAGTCGTGACTCAGAACTTCTGCCCAAGCTGTGGTCGAAATCAGCAGTGGCCAGAGGGACATGAGAGGACACTGGCTTGTCATTGAGGTGCCTGAAGAATATGAAGGACACAGATTTTGGATTCCTGTTATGGAAACTTACATTCCAGCCCAGGTGCTGGCACATCGTAGCGGTGTGACCTTGGCCTTGTCCCTTGACCTCTCTGAGCCTCAGTTTTCCTACGTGGAGAATGGAGAGTGGTCCAGGTGCGGGAGGATCACAGGGACATAGCCCCTCACATCTCTCACCTACTGCTGGTGGGAGTGGGAACTACAACAGTTCTGTCTGGAGGGTGATTTGTATCTTAGATTTGTACATTCCACTGGAGCCAAAAATTCACTTCTGGTATCTAGTATTCCTAATAAAGTAATTATGGATATGTACCCAAATTTAATCAGGATGTTCACTGCAGCATTGTTTATGGTGTCAGATAATAGGATATTAATAAAACAATGGGAAATTAGTAAAATGGAATTTTATGCAAACATTAAAAAGAATGCAGAAGACTACTTAATGACAAAGTAAGACGTTCACAATAAAAAAGTGAGAAAAGCAAGTCCCAAAATGGTATCCCAGCACGAGTCCAGTGCGTAGATGCATCATGCGTAGGCTCAAGACTGGAGAAACAGACTTCAAGGTCAAACACCAAACTGTTAATATCAGTTCGTTGTGACGGGATACTGGTAATTTTTATTGCCTCGTTACTTTTATAAATGTTCTGATGCTTCTACAATGAACACGAAGTACTGTCAATTAAAGAATAACAACATTTTTAAAGAAAAAAAATTGGGATGTGATATATTATTTCATGGGGTGTGGTGAGCACCAAAGGAGAGAAGGAAAGAGAGAATTTGGTCAACTGAAAAGCGGTATATACACTTATGATGACTTTATTATCAGGACAAAAATCATTACTATAAACCCCATCAAATGCAAGCCAACACCCTCTCGACAATGACCGATGGGTCTATTATCATGCCCAGTGAGTCATGTTCAGTACACCGTCATTAATCTTGTATCTGCTCATTTAACACAATGGGTATCGAAAGTATCTGTTGTTCATGAGGATTAAAGATGGTTCTTAGTAGTGATATCAGTGCATCTGACGGTCATAAATCTGCCTCTCCCCGAGCCGCATCCCTCAAGTCTCAACTCACAGTCTGCGCCGGCGCTGCCGGGTGGCCCTTCATTCAGCACTAGCCGCACCCCGTCTGCAGTAGATTTACTTCCCAATTACTGTTTTTCATCTAAGCTAATGGAAGAGTTAATAATTCATCTTCCCTCATGACCCTGTGCTAAGTGGGAGAGCCATCAGCCTGCGTACGAAAGTTTGCAGAAATTTTGAAAACTGTCCACCCAGGAGATCAACCACGTAAGAGACTCTATGCGTACACAGCCACGAACTTATGTCCTGGAAGGTGTGTCTGTGGTGGGCATATATCCCACGTTTGCTGTGTGTTTATACGAAAAGGAATTCATTCTGCAAAATCAGTGAATGAACAAGCTAAGAGAAAAACAAACGAGCAAAGAGCTATCCTTGGTGGCTTAGGAGGAGGTTTAGTTACTGCAGACCCACTATTGTTGGAGGACAACCTTTGCTCCTAGCCCCAGGGGAGAGAATCAGACATTTCCAGGGCTGGTTTACCCTGTGGGATTCTCAGCTACCGGGCTGGCCAGCAGGCAAGGGCCCTGTCTGGGCGCTGTTCTCTTTAATCAGCTCTGTCTGGGTCCTTGGAGTCTGGCCCAGAAAGTCAACCTTTGCAGGTGGGCCTCACCTCTCTGTTCTCCATGGAGGCCCACCACCATCGATCCAGGTAGCTACTGGAGAAAGGAGGCAGAAGGGCCAGAGGGGAGGGCCACATGTCCTTTCTCCAGACATTCAAGGTGCAAAGGGTGTTTAGCACCCTGGGCTTAGGAACACGGCCCATGACAAGGTGCAGAAGAGGGAAGAAGGTGTGAGCCAGGAGACACCAGGCAAGACTGCGATATACCATTTAGACTCAGAGTCTAATTTAGCCAACATTTATAAATCATGGGCTTTGACAGCAGCCGATGTGGGTTCAAGTTCTACCCCAATTACCTACTAGGTATGTGGACTTGGGCAAGTTTCTTAACCTGATATGCCTCAGTTTCCTCATCTGTTAAATGAATGTAAATGCTTTCAGCATGATCCCTGACACAGAATAAAACCTGGTAGTTTAGAGCTATTATTGTTATTACCTATCACAACCTCAACAGGGAGGTGCACATTGTTATTTATTCCTGTTATACTGACGAGGAAACGGAGGTAGTGTCTATGCCGTCATTCTCTCATGAGTGTTTGCCAACAACTGAATTGAATTTGCCATGCACAACAGCGGGTGAAACGGTGCCCTCTGCTGGCTACCGGGGATTAGAAGTTAAAAGCTCGTCAATCGGCTTTCTGCAAACCTCTTCCTAATGGGAATCAGTAGATGCCCTGGTGGATCCCACCGGCCCTGTCTCACGTCCAGAAGGGCTGTCCTTTCCTGGAGACACAACGTACGACACACAGGTGGGCTGTAAGCTGGAGGCTGGAGCTGCAGGTCCTGCCCTACTGGGATCCCCAAAGAAGAATCCAGTCCCCTCCACTACCCCTGCTGCCCAGTCTAAACAAAATCTATGCTACGCCCAACCCCCGGGCAAGGGCACAAAAGGGGAAGATTAGGGACATTGGTAAATACATAGGTAACTTTGTAAAATGGTGGCAGTTGCCTACTAGGAATCACCCTCCTTTTTTTTTCTTGCCTACTGAATCCTATTCAGTTCTGGATGGCAACGTGCTCGCCTAATAAACTCACCAGACGCCCTCACACGCTTAATGTTGAAATTTAGAATAACAATAACAAAAAAAAGCCGTAAAGAAGAAAACAAAAATCATTCGTGATACCACTACCTAGAGATCGTCAATGTCAGCATTTTGGTGCATTTACTTCTAACATTTTTGGGATTCATAAACAGTACAAACATCTAAAAAAAAATCAGTGTGGATACACCTTGCATCCTGCCCTCATCATCAAACGTTACAGCAGGAATGCTTGTCTCCAGGTCGTTAAGGGTGTGTGCTGTCTTACCTGGGTCTATGGAGATCACGGCCTCCAGCTCTCGGACCTTCTGAACGGCTGGGGCTGATGCGACACTGTAGTGCAAAGGATCCTGGGAAACGCAGTGGACCTCTGGGATCCTCTCAGGGCCGAGAAGACTGTCTGGAGCCTTGGTGTCCTTCAGGTCGGTCATAACTGTGCAACCCGGCGTGCTGGCAAAAGCCAGTGAGGCCTCTGAAACACACAGCAGCAGGGACTGAGCCCAGCCAGTTCATCAAGCCCCAGCCACTCCCTTCTAAGCGCACTGCTGATGGGCACGATGACACCTATGTGTCCCCTCTGCCAATGGCATTCCCTATACCACCTGCTGGCACCGAGGTCAGAACAAGCTGGCTTATGGCTACGTCTAGTTCCATTTGAACAGTTGCCTCTAATTTTAGGAAAGGGAAGATGAGTCGAGCGTGGGAGAAGTGAGGCACAGCCACAGCTACAGCAGCTAGAACTCTAGGTGATTCTGTCAATTTAACCCACGGATATCAGCAAGTATCTACCGAGCTCTTCCAACGCACGAAGCCATCTTGCTTGACTTTCCAGCAAATGTTAGATTTGGTTCCCTCTGTGAACATAGTTTCTATTTTTCTCATAGCACTTACATTTTGTTTTGGTTTATGCTAATTCTGTTCTTAAACATACTCTCCCTTACTAGAGTACAGGCAACATGTAACACTCTAGTGTAGTAATCAAGAAATAGCTTCACCGTGGCAAATGCACTTGTGTTCGAGATGTGACTTTATCCTGTCTAAACCTGTTTCCTCAACTATCAAATAATGACATGCCTCATATGGCTGTTGTCAGGACTGAATTGAAAATGCAAATAAATGTGCTTAGCAAAGTGGCTGGTGCAGAGTAAGCCCTCAATAAATGATGGTTTGTGTTATTGAACCAGCCATGTCTTACTCGTTTTTATCTCCTCGTGTCTGGCTCACTAGTGCTTAATACTTATTATATTTAATTTACCTCCTCTGCCTTCTTCGGTGTCATCATTATCCCTGAGCACTCGAACTCCACCCCGGTGTGTGCTCCTAGAGAAGCACGACCATTGCTCATGCATCTCAGAATCTCACACAGTGCCTTGCACTAATAGGTGTTTAGTAAATGTGAGTTGAGTAAGTAACATCTTGGATTTCACAGAAGCAGTAAAGTTTCTTAGATTTGATAGAAAGCCAGGGTCAGCCAACACTTCAAAAGACAGAACTCATAAATGACTTTTAGACATGATATATAAGGGGAAGAAATAATGAATGTGATGAATGTGATCGTTGCTTTTCTGTGTTTCGGACAGCACCTAAAACTGGTCACCCTAAAACCAGGTAAACATCAGAACAATCAGCTTAGAGTGTGACACAGGGTTCTGCCCCCAACAGTTATGAGGTATGCAGCAAATAATCTATTGCTAACAGAAGTTTAAATATTGACGTTTTTATCTTTTTATTTTTTGTAGAGATGGGATCTTGCCATGTTGCCCAGGCTAGTCTTGAACTCCTGGCTTCAAGCAATCCTCCTGCCTTGGCCTTCCCAAGTGCTGGGATTACAGGCGTGAGCCACTGCACCTGGTCTTTAAATCTTGGCATCTGAGAATGATTGGAGATTGTCCCTGACTGATGTCATCTGCTCTCATTTATAGTCAAATAGGCTATCACCATCAGGGCTAAAGGGCTGGAGTGTGCTGGGTGCCCGTGGCAGTGGGACCTCTCCTGCAGGGCTTCCCCCGGCTGATGGCAGGAGAGCGGCGGGGCCACTGTGCCGGGGGATACTTATCACGTGTGTGTGGACGTGCCTGCACGCACACCCACACGCACACTCAGAAATGACCACAGCTCCCGGAGGACTGAATCTTGTCCCGTGCGGCATTGTATCCCCCAGGTCTGGGCCCATGCCTGGCACATAGTAGGTGCTCAATACATGCACATTAACTAGACAAACGAATAGAATCCTGTGGATCTTGGCATCTAGGCCTTCTCCATATTGAAAATAATCCTTCCCTCTCATGAGGCCATACTGATAGCTAAACTCTCATGAATGCTTTCAAAATAAATTACAGTACCATTGAATTCTATGCTTTAGAGTGCAAGTGTGGCTGACCTGGACAGAATTTTCCAGTGTCTATGACAATGGGCTGCAATGTTATTTGCAATGTTTCTATCACATTCCTGTCTTACCGTGAGCAGTGAGGGCGCCCTCGTGTGTCTCTTCATTGTAATCTCACCTCGGAAAGAAACGTACGGACCATATTGCTTTCAATCACCTTGCACACAGCATGGAAATGGTTCGTTTGCTTGTGTTTCTTGGCTTCACCTTTGTTTTCAAGGCACCACAGATCTCTATCATACCTCAAAAAGTCAAACTAAAGGTTGATCCTTCTGTTAGAATGGGCTATGAGACTTCAGCAGGCAGAAATATGTTTAATCAAAACATTTGGGTTATAAGACCAAAGCTGCTCTGCTGAGGCCAGCCCTGGGGTTGAAAGAAGGAAACCGGAGAGGTATTCGCTGCAGGCTGGAGGCCTCTGTCCTGTGTTTTGTTTTATGGCTTTATTTTAAAAACCATTGTACTATAAGCCTAGCTTTCAAGAGCTAGAGACCCTCCGGGTTCCATTCTAGGTCAGAGTAACTGCCCTGTTATACCCCAACGTACTGCAGCTGCTGACAGCTTCGAGACTGGTCAGCTGGGAAGGCCAGAAGACCGGAACATCCCCTGGCTGACACACCACAGCATCCCCGTAGTCAGGTTTGGAAAGTTCCTTGATTCCCAACAGTTCTGCGGATGGAAAAAGAAAATGTAATTCCCTGGGCAGGTACCATCCAACTAGAACTCATTGAGTAGTTTATGGTTCTTTCTCCAAAAAGAACTCCAGTCATAGGATTATTTCAAAGGGCATTTGAGGGGGAGGTGAAGGAGAGCAGGAATTGAGGCTGAAGGAGCTCAGGAAATTTCATCCCAAAATATGACTCCTTGGTATAAAGAGTAGTATTCTGAATTAAAGGCCCTTAGAGATCAACAGGCCCTTGGAAGGGGCTGTCCCTCTATCTGCATAACCAGACAGACCCATCAAAAGAAAAATGGACTTCACTTCCCTTCTCTGTTATTTCACTATCTTGCAGGAAAGAAAATCAAGAATGCAACCAGATCTGGCCCAAATCATTTTAAACATAATACCTGTCTCTCAGATTATAGTCAGTTTCCCCCATCCATTCGTCCTACCTAGCAACCATTTATTGCACCTAAACAGAATCACCTATATTCCTCATCTCCCCCACCCCTCTAAAAGGAGCATAAAAAAATATCTGGGTCGCACTGAGATATTGGCTAATCACTTGGTGATTCTCCCCACGTGCAAGGTAAATAAACCTCCTCCTCTTGTTCCTCAGCCTTACTTGTGAGTTGGTCTTTCAGCGGACCTTCGGGGGAAAGGGGAAGTTCCCCCTCACCCCCACAAGGCTCTAACAACTCAGATACTCCATGACTTGCAGTCCATGGTGAGTGGTACAGTTTCAGAACATGGCATCTCAGATTCCGTGATGTGATTTCTGGAAGCCTTGGGTGCATTTAGCCCAGTTCTTGCACTGTACAGATTGCTAACAAAGCCAGCATTTGTCAGTTTGTCTTGATACAGACTGAGTCACATTACACGAACCTAAACTCTGTTGTTTGACCACCAACAGTGTCCTAACCCTGGCCAGCCACCAAAGTGCTGACGAGGACAGCAAAGATGGACGTGTTGGGCCCAACCAACCCCAGTAATGATAAAACCATTCAGCAGACACCTTCCTGGTGGGTGGTCCTGAGATCGTCCTTATATGATGAAGGCAGCAAGTGCTGACTGCAGTTTTATTTGCATATTAAAAAGATTGTGCATTCCAATAATTAAAATCATTTGAACAACAAAAAATGGCACTCTGATTAAACTGCATTTTACAGCCTGCAGGAAGCCTTGGGCCAGCTTGATCTTACTCTAGATTTCACTGTCGTCCCACCCCGCTTCTTCCTTCCCCCACATGCAAGCTCTTCTCCTTCCCTGCCAGCCAGACAGGCAGAGGGCAGAGGCAGGCGCGGCCTTGTTGTCCGGAGTTCTCGATTCTTCCATTTGAAAGGGGCAGCACAGTCATTTAAACTCGATCCAACCTCTGGGCACCTTACAAAGTTAAACAGCGAAAGGAAGCAAAATAAGAAGGCGCTGCTTGCAGAACGAACGGTGCATACTGGCGGCGCTCACCTCATTGCAACTCGCCTGCTGGCTTCTCCTGTTCGATCGTTTCTTTGGAAGGCAGCGGAGTTTTCTCTTGAGTTTCTGTCTTCTTCAATTTCGACTCATGGAATTTCTCGCTCTCAGTCATATCGGGTTTGGCAGGCGCGGTCGCAGAGGAGGCGGAGTGACGCGCAAGAGCGAGCGGATCCGATCTACCCAGTGGCCACTGCTGAGTGGCTGATCGGGTTTTCACAGAATGCCGTGTTTTGTGTGATTTTGCCTGTTACGCAGCTGAGTAAACTCGAGTACCCTGGACTCTGACCCTCACTCAAGACCCAATCCCAAGCTCTCCTCAGGCCCTTGGGGAACCTCCAGGAGGCTGGGCAGCTTCCAGATTTTAGCCCCTCATGCTTGGATCTGTTCGCTCACGCGGATTGAATTCATACACTGGGATCAATGGATTTCAGTTTGAATTAACATTTGAACAGAAGTCTTCTCCTACCCAAATATGCCAATGAACAGCAGCCCAGGTCGCTTTGAGCCCAAATCTCCAGACAAGGAGCCCTGCTGCCGCCCTCTGCTTCCTCCTACCCCAGGTTCATGTGAAGTTCATAGGAGCTTTATGTTTACCAAAGATCCCCAAAGGCTGAGGCTGGCTATTCTGCCAAGGGTGGCGCTTTTGAGCCTGAGGGGCATCTGTAAACCCTGGTCCTGCTGCTAGACGCCTTGAGCTCGTCCAGGGCCTTCACCCCCCGACCCCCTGGAAAAGATGAGGACACACTGTGGGAGCCCAGGAATACAGCAAGTTCCTGTCTGCTTCTCAGGCCCAAGTCCCCGGGAGGCTGTCAGAGTCCTGAGCCAGAGTGGACACTGACCTGGGTCGCCGATGTGAACAGGCTGTCCTCGCTCCCCGCCGAGCGAGCAGCTGGCCCCGACCAGCCTTCCCAGCTCGTCCTTGGGAACGGGCCTCCCCATGACCACCAGAGGGCAGCAAAAGCCAGCATGGGTGGCGCAAGGCACGGTTGTCTGACAAAAAATCAAGTGAACAACGTTTAAAAATGGAATTAGTACAGATCTAAGCCCTGAACACCGAGAGTTCAAGGCAGCTGAATGAAGGAGCAGGTCCCAGTAGCTATTATAAAAATTAGCTTCTGTTATACTTTTATGTGACATACTGATGTGGAAATTTGCTGGTAATTATTGGCATAAAATAGGGAATCTTAACTTTTTATGTGCCACAGGCCCCTTTGGTAGTCTGGCGCCGCTACGGCCTCCGATCGCAGTAATGTTTTTAAATGAATAAAAGAAAAGCTTAGCATCCCACAGGAAGACAATTATATTGTAAGTGCAGTTATCGAATTATGAAAAAATGTGATACAGTATGTGTGCCTGAGAGCAGCTTAAGGAAAAAGAGGGCAGATCTACTACCATTGAAATTTTGAAGTAGTGATCGACATATAGGATATTTTTGAGATACCAGGAAGAACTGTAATGGGGTTTGAAAATGTCTGTGATTTCCGTTGGCAGCCACAAAGTCACAGGGTCTGCTGACACGGTGGCCGTTTGTTGCCCACATTCATAATCAAAGGAAATGCTAAATTTCAGTTTGAGGCTATGAAAACAAAAATGTAAAATCTTTCCCATCCGATGTCATGGACCCTCTGAGATTCTCATGAACTTCAGGGGCCCATGGGCCACAGTGAAGAGCCTCTGGGAGGATCAGAGGCAGGGCGAGGCAGGGAGGGGAACGCTGGGTGGAACGTCGCAGGAGGAGCTGGTGTCTGCTCTGCCTCCTGAATCTGCGAGAGGGACAGGGGCCTGAGCCCACCCCATTCCTCCCGCTTCAACAGCAGCTGCCTGTGGCGATCCGTGTGATTTTCGCTGGTGCTGTGTTTTCCTCCCCTGAGTGGTTTCTGGACCTGCAATGGGACTTGTGAAAGATTTAGGACATGGCCGGGACTGGAATCCACTGGGACAGCCTTGGCCGCCACCAAAAGGGCTTGCTTTTACCACCCTGGTGGCAGCAGGATGGAGCCTCGGCATGCCTGCCAGCGGTGTGTGCATAACAGCGCCAGGGACAGGGAACGTGCTGGGGCCACTCAAAGAGCTGGCCGCTCCCCGAGGCTGAGGCACATCCCATCTGGGGGCGCCCTTCATCCCATCGCGGCCACCAGTGGAATCCCAGATGGCTGCCTGGCCATCTCTCCCAGAAGCTACTTGGTAACCGTCAGCTCAGTGAGCTGTGGGCAAGCGGCAAGGGCCGTGTTGAGCACTTATTATGGGCACACACTGTCACCTCTGCACAAAGCATCCTGTGATCATCACACCTCTATTATTGACATTTTACAGGTGGGAGCCAGGAGTTCTGGGTTCCAGTGTGGCTTTGGGACGTGGGCAAGTCCTTTGCTCTCTCTAGACCTCAGTTTCCTCTTCTAGAATGAGAGGCTGCACCTGGTAGGCCACAGGATGCTCCCAGATCCCACCTGCTACAAACGACGGTGCAGTCTAAGGACAGGTGGGCCCCCACCAGCAGCTGGGGAACCGTCCCCACCCTTCCCTAGCTTCCAGCAAACCACTCGGGCACACGCTGCACACACGCCGGGCAGCAGACTGTGGGCAGCCTCGTTTCTGATCAGAGGCAGCTGGAGCCTCTCTGGCAGGAGCTCAAACCAGGACATTTCAGACGAAGTCTCCAATCCGAGTCCTCCGTAAATAGAGAAACCTGGAGCCCAGTGGTTTTTTTATGCTGCTGACCACTGATCTAACAGAGCGAATGCTCAGACTTTACCCAAAAAATGTCCAGGAAGGGGTCAGTGGAATGAGGGCAACTAGTTCAGTCCCCTTGACCAGTGTGGCTGGAAGCAAACCTCAGGGGCCTGCAGGGAGGCAGCACCCAGTAGTGAGCACGTCCCGGGAGAGGCCGACCACGCTGCCCTGGCGGCCACCAGCCGCCACCTCCAGCCTAGAACATGACCCGGCTTTCTGCACAGGGACGTAACCCAGCAGCTATCAGCCTGGCTGAGGCTCTGCCACAAATCCTGGGGCATTTACAGAGCCAGGCGCATTCTCTGAGGCACTGCCCACCTGAGCAGGGAG